GTAGTACTAAATCCCAAGTAAACAGCCCTGTTTCTTCAAATTCACCTTTTGGTATCCACATCACATCACATTTCATCCATATCACATCACATCACTCCAACAGGTAGTTGCTGCCATAGCTCTGCACTCACAGATGGCACTCCCTCCCAAGTCTCCAGCATACTGTGTACTCTCTGTCCCCATCATCCCAATTGCTGAAGCTTCTGCTTTTGCTGCTTTGATTCCTTAAATAAAATTCCTGGGGCTTCAGAAATGAAGAGCCACCTAATTAAACTAGAATTTACCCCCTACTCTTTAAAAGTGTGCCTCTGTTCTTTGCAATTAGATGATCATAACAAAAACGATCGTGACAAAAATTTTCATAGCAAAAATGACTGAGACAAAATAGCATTAGTTGGTTTTGCTTCTTCATTCTGCCGTTATACTACTATATCCAGAGGATGTCCCAGTTCTGTGACCTTTCCATCGGTTATTCTCTGAAGGCCGGTCACCACACATGTCCCGACCGCTGATTTCATCATTGCATAATGTGGAAATGCTTTCCTTATCTCTGAATTTAAGCATTAAAGAGTGTTACACATTCAAGGTATTGGAAAAGACTACCTTTCTAATTACTTATTTTCCATTACTCTGAACATTAGGTATATTCCATATTTTATAGAATAATACATTAAAAGCAAGTGTGTGTACACACACATGCACACACAATTTATTAGGGGGAAAAATCTTCAAATAGATTGTCTGCACTCCTTGGCACAGCTCTACAGCATTTTGCACTGTTTCATTAAAATTCTTATTATTTTTAGCTCTTGACAATTGTTTTACTTAATTAAATCAATCATAGATTACTGCCAGTTATATATGCAGAAACCTGGGAAGTTTATTAACTCATAAATGCCAAAAGATAACAGAAGCACTGGAGGACTGATAATTAAATGCATCTTTTAATTTCTAGCCTATAAGTGGAATTTAGCTCATGTTAGCTTGCAGGTTTTTGTCAATGTGTAGACTCTGGTATAGCACCTTCCCTTCAAGTCTAGGCTGCATGTGACCCATGAGGGGAAGTCATGAATTATGGTTAAGCTGCCTCTTCCGTTCCTTCTGATACAGTTGCTAGACGTTGATGTCTCATCGCAAACCATCAACGAGCAGTTTTAAGATCCTCGAAGGGAGATATTTTTTTTACTGCTATATTGCTACAACCTAGAAAACCATCTGTCTTTGATTCTTAATACTCCTTAAGCCACAGATATCATGGATAAAAACTGAATTTACTACCCTAGACACTTAGTAAAGTAAAAAAAAAGTTTCCTTTTCTCTCAGAATGAAGTATTCTAAGTCCTAGAGCAAATACATCTTGATTATCCTAAATGAAAGAGTGATGTTTCTTCATTTTCAATATAGAGTCATGCTTAGCACTCCTTGGTATTCTGTTCAAGGATCTGATGCCAGAATGGCCATATGGTCAAACACAGGTCTCGTGCAGAAAACAGACCAACAAGCTCACTGTGGGTTTATAGTAATTGCTGGTTGGGAGCGTTTATTGTTTGTGGAGTCCATGATCAATACTCTCTCCATTTCCAATTACCGTGATGATTTACTGAATGAGAAAGATGGGTATTCTTAGATCAGAACCTGTAAAAGGGGGGAAGAAAGACAATCACCCCAGTTTATTTTGTTCATTAAATTCCACATATGAGTGAGATCATGTGGTACTTGTCTTTCTCTGACTGGCTTATTTTACTTAGCATAATACTCTCCAGGTCCATCCATGCTGTCACAAAGGGGGGAGTGGGTGGGCAGAGATTAATTGAAGAACTTCCATGCATATAAGCATACCCATGGACAAAGACAATAGTCTGGGGAAGGCCTGGGGGTGGGCAGATGCAGGGTGGAGGGGATCAATGGGAGAAAAAAAAGGGGGGACATCTATAATACTTTCAACAATAAAGATAAATTTTTAAAAAGTAAAAACAATTATAATTTTTTTAAAAAAAGAAAAAAGACAATCACTGTTCAAAATGAAAAAATTCTTTAGGGACATTATCTCATTATTTGGAGAATAATTTTAGAGTTTACATTTGGGGTATATGGATATGGTTTGGGAATGTAATTAGACTTATAAAAATATTTAGAGGGACTGCTCTCTCTCCCTCAAAGTTGTTATAGCACTATTTATTGCTATTTTGATTTGGTGCCATTTGATACATGCCTAGAACAAGTTCAGTCTAAGGCAGAGTAGAGTTGTCTGATAGACCTGTCCCTTGTGATAACACAAGGAAGGCTTGAATTATCAAATTAAACTCTCTCGAGTTCCAGCTCTTACCAGCACCAAACTTGACAGATGACTCAAAGACAGTTTATGCTAACAATGTGATCTATGGTGAATGTCTGATTTTGCTCCAGGTGGGGGGGAAGCTAGAGTAGGCGAGGTCAATAAAAACCCTGTCACCAAACCCTGGGTGGGCTCCCCTGGTTGGCAGTGCTCTGCATGAGTGGTCCTGCATCACTGCTGGGAGGATTGAGCATGTCTATGTAATTCCGCTGGAAGCTCGTGGGTGGTTTCTCCTCTACTTTATCCCATGTGCCTTTTCCCTATGTTGAATTTAATCTGTATCCTTTCACTGTAATGAACCATAACCATGAGCAAAACAGCTTCTGAGCACTATGAGTCCTTCTAGCAAGTCATCCAGAGTGAAGATGGTGGCCTGGGGACCCTCTGACTGGCACGTTTGCAAGGAGATTTGAGGTTTCTCTTTCCTCTCTGATAGAGGTAGAGAAGTTTGCAGGCCTGCCGCTTACCTCTTCCTTCCCAGCATATACAGTGGCGCTACAAACCTCTAAACTAATATCCCTCCGGCCCTTTATATTGATATTCACTCTGTCTCTGGAGCCTTAAACCTTCATTAATAATCCCATAGAAAGTAAAACTTTATTTCAATAGATCTCCAGTTAAAACACCTGGAAAAATAAACTCTTCCTAAATCTCAAGCTACTTTCTTTAGCTATTTGACCTATTTTGTTTTACAGATAACACTGCAGTCTATGGCTTACTAAAATAAATATTGGATTGTAGTGGTTATATGTCCAGAGGCTAGTAGAGTACTTGCTTATTGCAAACAACACAAAATATAAATTCTAAATAGTAATCCAAATTCTTCAAAATGTAAGTAGTAGAATTGATTTTATTACTTTTTCCCCCATAGTATTATAATATCCTGAGAAATACCTACCAAAAAATTCTGCTCAGTTATTAATCATTAGTACTTAACTTTGGGACCACCTAAAATGAAATTACCCATGATATAAGTAAGTATATATTCTATGGCAAAGGCCACAAATATTCTGATGATATCACAGCAATTTGTGTAATTATTTTTTTACTTTACCTAACATTGTTCATTTACCATAGTTTAATATGGCTTTAAACAGTTACAGCCTGTGGATTTATACCTGTTTGCATGAATGGACCAGTTGGATAATGTAAGTTTTACAAATACAGATTGTAAGTTCCAGCATATAGGCTTATCTGATTTTATTGAATGTCTAGTTAATAAACAACTAATAGTTTTGGGTACCCTTTTTGCTATAATGCAGGGTTTTTCAGCCTTGTCACTTGATATTTTGGGACAGATATTTCTCCGTCTCGAGAAGTTGTCCTGGGAATTGTAGGATCCTTGGTTTAGCAGCATCCCAGTTTCTGTCCACTTACATGCCAGTAGCATGTAGTGTGACACACCCAAAAATGTCTCCAGATGCTGCCAGATGTCCCCTTTCCCCTTGCTCAGAACCACTGCTGTAATGCACAGTAAATTATTCTTGAGTTTAGGGAGGGGGAACAAACAAAGAATCAAAAGGAAAAACCAGCTGAAAATGTGTTTCCTGTTTTGTGAGGCCTAAGAAACATGAAAAATTAATTATACAATTAATACTATTGTATAAATAGAACAGATGATCAGTAGTGCCCCAATGACAGAATATCATTGGCAAATGACTTACTGTCTACTTCCTCATCTATAACTATGGTAATAATGCCTATCTCACAGGGTCCATTCAAAGAGTAATATAAAGTATCTAGAAGAGTAACTAAATGTACTAAAGCACCAAATAAATGTCAATCAGTATTATTACTCTCACCATCATTTCCTTGCTTGAGTAGGATAATGTAACAGGTAACAATTCTAAGTAATTTAATCAAATGGAAGGTTTTTAGATAATAGTAACTATAGAGAGCTCTATTTTGAAAAAGAGCACAGACACACACATACAAACCCCACTAAACCTTAAATCTTTGGTAGCGTTAAGGGGAAAGTGAAG